ACTGTAAAGGAATAGTAGATTACATTAAGTTAGCATTGCTTAATGTCTTAAATTACTACTGGGATTATCCAACCAATGAATCTTTATTAACAACAATTCTTGATCCACGAAATAAAAAAATGGAATTTGCTACCAATGATTAAAGGTTTGAAGCTAAACCTATTTAATAGAAAAATATGAAAGATTTTGAAAATCAGAGCTAATGCCACTTAACATAACACCAATAGATGGTGATAAGAAAGAAGAAGAAAACATATTATTAGCCACTATGTATACTCCTGTTCAATATTCTGAAACAAATAAAGAAATTCAACTTTACCTTGCACTTCCAAAACTTTCAAATGCGCAATGTCCATTAAAATGGTGGAATAGTCAAAAAAATAATTTGCCAATTTTAAGTGAAATGGCATGCAAATATTTATGTGTTCCTGCTACTCCAACAGCTAGTGAACACCTTTTTAGTGATGCAGGAAACTTTATGACAATAAAGCGTAGCTGTTTAAATGTAGACTTATTTGAGCGAATGTTGTTCCTTAAAAGAAATGTAAATTATGTTGGAACAATGTTTCCTCAAGACTAATGAAGTAGTTTTACATTGATATATAATATGACATGCATGAGATATATGACTTATATAATTGCAAAATATGTAATTAAATTAGCAATTTATTAAATATGTTAATGTTGTGGTTAAAATACGTATAAAAAGATATTTAATGTTTCGGTTAAAATATAAATAGATATTTAATGTTTCGGTTAAAATATAAATAAATATATATTTGCGATATTTATTTCGTACAAATTTTCAATAGATTCAACGGATTCAACGGATTTCATCGGATAATTTATGATCGGATATAAAAACCCGGTGGATTGAGCAAACAGATAGTCGGATATCCGCGGATCCAAGCACTAGTCGTCAGTATTTTGCTAAGACCTTGTACTACAGTAATAGTGACCAAATTGAAAAATTAATATACTGTATGCCTTACAACCTTGGATTGCTGACATTGCGTGTATAGTAGAGTGTAGCAGAATCGATAGTGCAAATATATCATGAAAATTCGTGTAACACGATGATTTCATTCTGTCATACAAAGAAATACTTACCCTCACGTTAATTAAAAATCGGATAAACGTCCCCCGGGTTTGGTTACAATCAGTCGCATGGTGTACGTAGAAGTTTTCCGAACTTTATAATCACATCACGTGAAGGTTCTACGGATTTTCCGTGCCGGAAATTTATTCGTCACCAAAAATGAATGTCTATTAATAAGGACAAATGATTACCAAAAAAATTGCGCCACCTTTCCAAAGCCCCAAGCTGTTTTTTCTTCTCATCTTCCTCAGCTTTCATTTTTTTAAAACGATCCAGAAAACTTCCATCATTTGAAAAAATGTTTATTGCAGGAGTAGAACTAGGTACATTTTTTGATGACTTTCCACCGGTTGATCCGTTGCTGCTCGCTGGTGTACTAGCGGTAGATGCATCTTTATCTTTCTTGGTGCTGCCCGTAGATGCGTTAGAAGGGGTTGGAGAAGAAGGTTGAGCTGGTGTTGAACTCGAGCCTGAAGCCGTAGGGCTTTGGCTTTCTTCAAAAACTTTTTTCGAAGTGTCGTGGGAATCCATTTCGAGGCAAAGTTAAAGAGAAGAATAAAGGTGGCGCAATTTTTTTGGTAATCATTTGTCCTTATTAATAGACATTCATTTTTGGTGACGAATAAATTTCCGGCACGGAAAATCCGTAGAACCTTCACGTGATGTGATTATAAAGTTCGGAAAACTTCTACGTACACCATGCGACTGATTGTAACCAAACCCGGGGGACGTTTATCCGATTTTTAATTAACGTGAGGGTAAGTATTTCTTTGTATGACAGAATGAAATCATCGTGTTACACGAATTTTCATGATATATTTGCACTATCGATTCTGCTACACTCTACTATACACGCAATGTCAGCAATCCAAGGTTGTAAGGCATACAGTATATTAATTTTTCAATTTGGTCACTATTACTGTAGTACAAGGTCTTAGCAAAATACTGACGACTAGTGCTTGGATCCGCGGATATCCGACTATCTGTTTGCTCAATCCACCGGGTTTTTATATCCGATCATAAATTATCCGATGAAATCCGTTGAATCCGTTGAATCTATTGAAAATTTGTACGAAATAAATATCGCAAATATATATTTATTTATATTTTAACCGAAACATTAAATATCTATTTATATTTTAACCGAAACATTAAATATCTTTTTATACGTATTTTAACCACAACATTAACATATTTAATAAATTGCTAATTTAATTACATATTTTGCAATTATATAAGTCATATATCTCATGCATGTCATATTATATATCAATGTAAAACTACTTCATTAGTCTTGAGGAAACATTGTTCCAACATAATTTACATTTCTTTTAAGGAACAACATTCGCTCAAATAAGTCTACATTTAAACAGCTACGCTTTATTGTCATAAAGTTTCCTGCATCACTAAAAAGGTGTTCACTAGCTGTTGGAGTAGCAGGAACACATAAATATTTGCATGCCATTTCACTTAAAATTGGCAAATTATTTTTTTGACTATTCCACCATTTTAATGGACATTGCGCATTTGAAAGTTTTGGAAGTGCAAGGTAAAGTTGAATTTCTTTATTTGTTTCAGAATATTGAACAGGAGTATACATAGTGGCTAATAATATGTTTTCTTCTTCTTTCTTATCACCATCTATTGGTGTTATGTTAAGTGGCATTAGCTCTGATTTTCAAAATCTTTCATATTTTTCTATTAAATAGGTTTAGCTTCAAACCTTTAATCATTGGTAGCAAATTCCATTTTTTTATTTCGTGGATCAAGAATTGTTGTTAATAAAGATTCATTGGTTGGATAATCCCAGTAGTAATTTAAGACATTAAGCAATGCTAACTTAATGTAATCTACTATTCCTTTACAGT